TCACTCTTCTCTCTAGGCTCCTGCTCATCATTTGGCAGGCTGCCTCTGAGCCTACTCAACTACCTAAGCTTGGTTTGAGGTGTAGGGAGATTTGTTGGAGCTTTCCAGTTGGAAGTTTGGTGCTCCAGTTCATCCATACAGTTCATCATGGCTTTGGTGTTGCCAGGTGCTCAATTTGCTTGCTAGGTGCATTTAGCAGGCATTTCACTCACTCTCTGATCATGTGCCAGAAAGCTACAGGGTTCAACTTGCTCTCCAGCTCAGTGCTAGAAAGCTACAGGGGTTTGCACATATAGGAGGTGTCTATCTTGACATACACTCTCTTTAGTGCTTGTAAAACCTTGTTATCCACAAGAATAACTGTTCAGAGTGTTGATTGTAAGCTTCAATAACCAATTGAGCTGTAAATCAACCTTATATGCTTGCTCTTCAGTGCAAAGGGCTATAACCTGATGGAGGACTTGTATGCTTGTCATTTGCTAAGCTACCTAAAGGGGAATCTGGCTAATCTATGTGGGTCACGTGAGCGAGGTGCTAGTTGGATTACCTAACAAACAGGATGTCACAGTGGCTTGGCCAGTCAAATGTGCACCCAATTTTGGGCTTGAGTACCCAAGACATTGATTCAAACAACATACAATCAGAACATGGACTTGCATTATATCTGAAACAAGAAAGAACATAAGATTCAAGGAAAGACTTTCCAAGATCAAGCAAAACTAGGTGTACATCTCATTACTCTTGACTCAATCAAACTCGCGAGTGTAATCTTCATTGGACACTACTGCTTGCTTGATGTACATATAGCTAACACAAGCATCATCCACAGTGGTAAGAGCATGTGCAATGGACATCAGGTTTTTGATCTAGCAACAATATTAGCAACTGCTGCATTGAAAAAAGCTCAAATGCATATCTCTTGACTGTTAAGATCTGAAGTTGCTAACCAATTCAGATCCTGATCATTTATTGCTGCAGGTCCTTGATGTGTACATGCTTGGGAGATAAAATGCTTCCATATTGTCTTTTGTTGCTGTTGACTTAGATTGGAATATCTGATCTTCAGATGGATTCTGCTAAGAATTGCCTTGTCAAATTCTGTCTTGCAGTTGATCATGAGAAAGAAGATCCCTTGAAAGTATTCCAGTTTGCAAAGAAATATGATAACAATAGCATTCTTGGACATGTTGATGAATGCACAACACTCAAGAAACACATCAGCTTTATCTAGAAGGAGAAGAGCATTGAAATGTTTGGCAATTTAAAATATTCTTGTGAGATTGTTCTCAAGTCTATCAGGTTGGATGACCAGTTGTGCAGCAGAAATCTGAAACATTAGCAGAAATTATTGACTTTCAATTGAAGCTGAGCTTATTGAGTAAAGAGGCTACTCAAAATTCTCAGCTATAGCTTCAGCTGTCAGAGTCTTACCCACACCTGGTAGGCCACTGTATCTGTTAGTAGAGAAACTAATTGGAGGCCATCAAGACATACTATAAAAGAACATTCAGGCCACACCTCTTGCCTGCAACAAAATTATCAAATAGGAGGGCAGGAGTCACACCCATTCATGTCTTTGCAAGTATCATAAGGATGGATCTCTGCTCATCTGAAATTGTCAAGTTCCCAAAGGGAGTTGATGACCATTTAATTTTATTGATGTCATCAACAGCAAACTCATCTAGAATCAAATTAGTGCTTGCATCAGAAAAAGAATTGGCAAGCCTTACAGAAAGTGTTATTGGTGAAACTAAAGCCAGGGACAGTAGAACAGCATATCAGATAATTCTCATTATTCATGTTGCTATCTCCCACACCACCATACTTCACTTGCTTCTTCTCTCTCTGGACTTGATTGATGAAGTCAATTCAAAAAAGCTTCATCTAAATCAATCCCTGTAGACTGAAACTTCTCAATGCATAGGCAAGAATAGTTTGACATCATCTCATGAAAGAATGAAGCATCAATTCTAATATAGCTGTCAATATTGACTTGCACAGGTTGTTTCTTCTTTATAAAGAAAACAGTTCCACAGCAGTGACAGATATGTGTTCTGGCTAGTTTACAGAATTTCCAGTCACATTTAATCAGGTTCTGCCTGACTGTTGCTTTCTCCAGATGGTACTGAAGTGGAAATACTGGTAGCTGATGAATGAGTTGCAAGCCTCAAAATTTTTTAATTTTGAGTTCCATGCTGGCTTTTTCAAGAACCTTTCTGTTATAGTTAATGTAGCTGCAATTGAGACTATAATACTCCACATTATTAAATCTGGTTTTCTCCTCAGTAGCATTCAGCACAATGCATCTTGGCTTCTTCATCCCAAAATATTTTGTATAGATGATGGACCCTGGCTTGAAGATGGCCCAGAGAATGTCCCATGTTGCCTGTCCACTTGCAAGTTAGGATGCAAGCTGTTCAGTTGTGAGCTGGTATGTTGTCAAGATGAATTTGATGAGCAGAAAAAGGAAATTCACTTGATTCTGTTGGTCTGGTGCACCAGTGGTGTTTGCTCTATATATTTCTAGCTTAGGGAGAAAGTAGTACAAGAGATTCAGCTCAAGCTGTTTCAACATTAGCTACTTCTAGATTCTGCAATGAAGCACAACATACACTAGACTTATTCTCCTGCAAGCTGATGAACTTGACCACTTTCAAAACATCCTGCAGAGCATTACAAAGAAATTTTGACTTGATATCAATGCAGACTGTCCATTTTGTGGAATTTTTACCAGTTCAGATCCAAATGATGAAGGCATATTAGTCAAGCTTGTTAAGAATTTCTTCCACTGCTTTCTTGATCTTATACTTCAGTGTTGCTTTATCCCAACTGCAAACCAGTCAGTCAAGCTGATAAGCACTGATGACAGAGCACATATATTTCTTTGATTCTCTTGAAGTCAAGCTTAGAGCCAAGTGTGGTAACTGTAAGCTTGGATTCTGACAGCTTGTTCACTTTGGATGCTGCACCTTCAGTATTGGGCTCAGCTGTGGTGGGATTAGCTCTGATCTCCTGGATAACCTCCACAAAGAGATCTTTCAGTTCCTTCCATGCACAAAGCTGCTAATACACTCCATTCAACATCAGGCTCCTCTGGGCGTTTTCATCAATGGGGGTGCAAGGAGGTGTTGGGGTAGGCAACAGAGAGGCAGACATCTTGCTATTGAGCTTCATCACTTCAGGCATGGTGATAATTGAAAACGGCGAGCAAAAATATAAGAATACAGATAGTGGTCAGAAGAGTGTGGAAGGGCTTTTGAATCAGAACATCTGTTCTTTGCCTCAGGTAATCTGGGGAAATGATGCCTCCCTTATATGCCATTCTGAAGATCGCACGATTGTCCCAAGGTGTCTTGAGACTTGTTGTCTGCTTTTACTCGGACTGTGCAGATACAATACAGGAGGAGTGGCTGTCACTATCCCACGCGTTCATTCAACAACTCCTTGCCGCCTCCCCCTGCAGATGTGATCCACTTCTTGAGCTGTCTCAAACCTAATAATCATGCAGAGCCAATCATGTAGATATCATTTCAGATGTTTTGCTACCTTCTGAGTGCCTTGATAAAGTCCATCCTCAAGCTAAGGCAGTGCAACTCAGATGAAGCTGCAATGACAACCAAGCCGTATGCAACTGAATTTGCTGTTAGGAAAAATGATTGGACAAAACTTGCTGCTATTAAGGTTCTCACCTTTCCTAAATAGTATAATTGGGGCCCAAAAGGGCCCCAAAAAACCCCAACAGGGCCCCAGAAGGGGTGGAAAAGGCACTATATAGCCAGAGATTCCTCTTTATTGTCTTCTTTGTTGATCTCCCTTTTGTTCTGTCATCTTATCCTGTCTCCTTGCAACCCCAACCCAAAATATGGAGCTTCCTCATGTCTTATTGCGAACAAACACTAAAGATATTTTCACTTACCAAGATGGCTATGATAAGGTTACAAATGCCAACCTTCTCAGCTTACTTAACCTTGGCCGCAAAACACTACACTTGCTTGAAGCTGAACTCAAGAAACAGCAGATTGAAGTAAAAGATGATCTATCAAATGCAGTCACCAAATGTATCAGGAAATTCCAGAAGATATTAGCAAATCTGCAAATCCTCAGGTGTTTGGATGAGAAGGCATTCCAGCTTGTAGTTGCCACAGTGAACACTCTGAAGCTGCAACCATCCAATCATGACTTCAGTGTCTATTGGACATTTCTTACAGATATCCTTTGTTGCTGCTGTTGTGGATTTGTTGTGCTTTGTACAGCAAGCATTGGAAAGCAAAGAGTGGTTACAATGAATAATGATGATAGAACTCAGCTTGTGCATTATCTCAAGATCCACAAGTCTATTTTTGAGTGTCCTCTCTTGGACATACTTGCTACAACATATCACATTCCAGATTACTCTTGTATGTTTAGCCCTACCTATTCAAGGTCTGTTACATGGCTGACATAGCTTTTAAGAAACACTCCTTTCTGATACAAATAGCAATTTGAACCCTAATAAAAGGCTGCTGCTCCATGCCACTGGTGAGCCTCTTGTTTTGAACTCCTGCCCACTTTTGAGGACCTAACTTGTAGCAGAAGTGGATACACTTGAATGTGATTGACCACCACGCAGACATTATGAGAAAGAGTGAATGGCGGTTAATGAAGTGCTCGAGGCAGCAGTTGTAGCAGAGACAACAGCTAAGATTCCCACACACAGAGGTAAAAACAAAAGATGAATGTTCCTCTCATAACTATCTACCAGAATCTGACAATAGTACATGATGCAGAAATTGAATACAGATACTTGGAGGCACCTATTATTTTGATCTCACTTTTAGGTGATGACATTTCTGAGGCTGTGAAGACCAGCAAACAGTGGCAGTGGGAGTGTACTCTCAGAGGAGCAACCATGGACTGTGTAAATACATTGGCACTGAAGAATCAAAACCATGACATCTCTATAACCTTGTTGGGAGGGTTTGAAAAGGGAACGCGATTGATCAAGAAGTTTGAGCTTGTCCCTAGGTGAATTTAACTGTAGCTGCAACCACACAAACTTTGTATCCTGCAGGGACATCAGAGGTTTTGACTTTGTGCTCTTCTTCCCATTCCCAGTATGCCGGCGAGTCCATACTTGCATTTGGGTCATATATTTGAATCAATTTTCCCTTTCCAGTTATGTTTCTTGTATACATCACTTTCTTGAATAACTTCATTTTTATGTATTCCCATTCTCCTTTTAAGGCCTTAGCCCCGGTCTAAAAGCACATATTTGTCAGGATAAGCTGAAGTCCAAGAGCACAGGCATGGACACACCTCTTCTAACATCCTCCCGGCACCCATACGACCCTGTTTCCTGGTGTAGATTTGCACGTAGGTCTTTGTGGTAATTAAAGTGTTGCTAGTATCCATACACAACAGTTCTGCTAGCCTATTAGTGCGAGAAGATGTCAGTTGATTGATGAAAGAATAGAAGCACTGCCTAATGCTCACCCCAGTATGGTTCAACAGATGAGCCTTTTGTTGAGCATAACAGGGTTTGGAGACTGATAACACAATGTATGTTCTTGTAAAAGCCTCAGGACTTTCAAACAGGTGAGGGTGATGCAATGGATATGACAACTGAGGTTTTGGAGGACATGTGTTCTTAATGAACTTGGGATGTGGGGGTCTGACAATATCAGGAGGTGATATTGACTCAAGCCTGGGTTGTGATGTATAAACATAGATATAACAGCCAAAGTAGAAATGATGAGATCAATTTAGGAGCAGGACAGCGCATCTTGTTATCATTATCTGGTCATCACTATTATCCAGAACTACTACAAAAATCTGACTTCAGCAGGCTCCAAAGTCTTGGTGGGGCTATGACAGTGTTGGTCTTGTGATCATGGGTTCAACCAACTGAGAAGTTTGCATTATTCTTTGTGGAATTCAAGGTGCTATTCACCTACAAATAGGAGCTCATGGTTCTGTCATGGTGGACTCTGTTGTGCCAGTGCTATTTTGTTACAGCAAAATCCCTCCCTTAGGGTAAATGAACACTGACAGCCAATTTACAATGCTGCTGCCACTGTGGGCCTCTCTGATGAAGCAGATGTGCAGCTGCCTTTTGAGAATCAATGTACCTTTTCTTGCTTGTCACAAGTTAGGAAACTTGAATCAGTCAATGGTCTGAGATGGGCATTCATTCAAGGAAGATCCTTCTCTGTTGCAAATGCCTCACACCCATCATTAGGCACCAATACATCAAAACATCTTACCAGCATTAATGTGACCATTCAGCCGGGTTTTGATGAGGGGAGAATGACTAATCTAGTCTAGCCAAGTTAAGTTAAACCAAAAGTCACGCCTGCCAGCTCTCATGTACTGGGCCAATAAAAGGAAAATGTTGTGTCACACTTTTCTCAGAAGGCTGGCAGAACTCTGCTTGAACCTAATATTATCATGCACATCACTCTCTAGCCTCAAGCTTGTGACTCATGTCCTTTGCCAAGACTCTAGTGCCATTTATCCTGGTCATTATTTGCAAACTTGATTCCACCACATTTCATGATTGGCAGCTCTCATGATACACTCAATCTCCCATACTGGAAAAATGAGCTTTTCAGGCAACTGTCAGAAAATGTTTATCTGACATGACCTGTTGAACTACAGGTCACAAGCTTGAAATCATAGATCAACCATATATTTACAATGCACATATAAAGAGTTCAAAACATATAGAATTCAGAACATATAATGCACCAATTAAGGGTTTTGAACCCAATTTGGAAGCTTTTCAATTACTAGAAACTAACTAAGTATTACACAACCACCTGCACAACCTGAATCATAATGAAGTTTTTTTTTTTTTTAAATTTCAGAAGCCTTCTCACCAGTTGGAGTCTCTGGTTCAGGGACAGGACATAAGACCAGCACAGAAGAATTATCAGAGCAAGCTCATTCAGGCTGCCTGATTATACTTTCAAGCAAATTAGCTCCACTGTCTCCAGTTGGAGACAGGCCCAATACAGATATATTCAGCTGCAACTGAACAAAGAGAGAAGACATGATTAGAGTAAAGAAGAAGAGAGAAGAAGTAAATGCAGCAGAGAGCAGAGCAGCAGCAAATCAGTCTATCTTGATTACTAATTTACAGACAGTTTCTTCTGTCTTTTGCTTTTTCTGTCATCAAATATTAAAGTCAGTTTAATTTATCCTGACATTGCATCAAGTATACTAACTACAGAAGATAAATAATTAAACTTTAAGTTCTGACAGATGTTGGTCAAGATTCTTTCAATATTCTATATATATAATTATATTAGCATAAGTTGAATGTATGATCTTTAATCAGTTCAATCTATCTTGACAGAGCAGAATGTATGCTCTGCAAGCTCTTTTTATTTAACTTGAATGGACACAAGCTTTTCCAATACTGTTAAAGTGGCAGCACCAACTTTAGTATTAAAGAGAGGAGAAGAGAGAGATTTGTCAGTTTGGACTGACAGAGGTGCTATTTTGACAAGTAATTTACTGAGACCAGCAGCCTGTTTCATCATACTGGCTTTCAATTTCTCTTGAAGTATTGTGTTCTTAAGTCTGAGAAAATCATTATAATCAGACAGCAATGCTACTACTTTCTTCTGCAGCTCTGAAGAAACAGAAGTACAGGCTTTTTTATCTTCTGCATAATTGGTGCAGGCCTTCACAGTTCCTTGCTTACAGAAACAAGACTTTTTGATGTGTATTATATATACAAATGTCAAACAGCAGCCACAGAGTATATCATTTATTATAGCAGGCTCTTCTTTAATAGCTGAGAACTTTTACTCTGACTTCTTCTTTGTGAACATTAAGAAGTGCTTGTTCTGAGCTGCTGCTAATTTATACATTTGCAGAGTTATTTTTTGCTATTTCTGTATATATTGTTCTTCAGTTTGCTGCAGTTTCTTATTTCATTCTGAAATTCACCACTTACCTCAATATTGAAATAGAGAAAGAGAGGCAATAAGAAATATAATGAGCTCAAGAGAAGAAAAGAAAGAAAAGAAGAGAAGAAGAGAGAGATTTTGTATAAAAAGAGATTATTATATCTAGCATGTTCACTTAATTGTTTTGAATTTCCTAATCAGAACATGTCTATTTATACATTACTAAGTACTAACTTATTTTACTTAGAGCTCCTACAGCCAATTACAGTAAATAATAAAGAGATATATATTGAATATAGCAAAATTTGGCTCTTGCAAGCATTGATATAACAGAGCATTGCATTGAAGTCTAGATATCAAACCCCAAAATTTATTTTGAAGCACAAACTAACAGCCAATTTTAACTCAAGAAGGCATCTTTTCATGTATTCAACTAGAATCTGTATCTCTTTCAGGGCATGCAATCAGTTACAGCTGGTGTGGGTCTTTTTGAACAGGCAGGCCAATTTGTTACAGTCTCAAAATAATTCTTTATGATATTCTGCAAAGAATTCTGATTCTTCTTATCTGAATTATTATTCTCTGGCTTCTACAGAGCTTGTACTGCCTGAGCTGAATGTGAATCAGGTTCCCTGGGCAGCATACTAGATATCAACTGGACTGCATCCAGAATTCCTGGCAAAGTCTTAATATAGACAGTCTTTAACTTTCTTGGTCAGATCTTCTATCAGGCAAAGTCCTTTAAATTAATATCTCTCAGTTCTGGTTTCTGTATCAAGCAGTCCCAGAGCTTGAGTACAGAATTCCAGATGTAGATTAACAGAGTAGATACATTTCATTTCAGACTGTTGTTATCAAGATACAGCTTCACATATGCTGCTAAATTTGCATACACCTCTATTACCATAACTGTCAGAGCAGAAATCATGACAATTAAGATTTATCATTAACTTACATTCAAAATACCATTTCTCTTGTGAAGCTGACTTCTCAAAATCAACACACAGCTTGATCCAGTAAAAGACTTTACAGAATTGATCCCACTTGAATAATCAGGCAAAATAGCTAATCAGCTTTTGTTAATCAGTTATTTCATGGAGTCTGAAATCAGAATTCTCAGTCAAGCTAAGTTCAATACATTTTCTGACATAATCCTGCAAATGAGGTCAGTTTATACCATAACTAGAAGTTTAGAGATATTGTTCCAATCTTCAAGCTACTCAAGATCTTACATTTTCAATCTTTACAGAGGTCTGACATGCATCTAGAAAGTTCACAAAAATATGAGTCATTTTCAGCTTTCCAGTTCTCAAGGCTCAGCATCTTCTGAATAATATCAGGAATCAGATCAGTATTTAATGTCAATATATAGACTCATTGCATCCAATTTCATATCTCATGCTTCATTACTTGAACCTGCTTTTTAATCTCTGTATAATTAGAGAATACTTCAGTTCAGATACTTGTATTCAAACTGAATAATGTCTCTTGAGTCTTTGACATGTTGTGCAATTAAGTTCATGAAAAGGTGCAAGCTGTTCTTTTTGACACTGGCATACTCTGTATCTCTGACATTTTGACTATCAGATTGCTGTTAAGAATGAACAAGAGTGAATGCTTGAATTTCAGAGAGGTTCACTATCTATTATATAGTTGACTTGAAGCATATTCAACTGCTCAAGTTACTATTCAGATCTGTATTCATATTCTTCTACATTCTAAAATTCAACACCACTAAGTGATTGATTTCTTTGAAATAGGCTGATCATTCAGGAGAATGCAGATTATTGCTGATCTTGCATCCCTTAGAGCTAATTACAGGTCTAGATAATTAGAATATTACAGTTGGTCTGCAGTACAGTTGGCATATTTTACAGCTGCTCTAACATTCAACTTTGCTATAATACATCTGATCCCCCAATTGAACAGCAATTTTCTTTCTAATTTCTACATACTTTATTCCAAAGAAATTTTGCAGCAACCCTTACTGTTTCTGCAACTTGAAACTTAACTACTGCAGAAACCAGTGTATAAATCTTGAGCAAACATGCAAGATCTGAAGTACTTGATATGTATAGAGAACTATATGTTTTGGAGAAGACAACTTTATTTGCTATTTCCAGTCTTACAGTTTTGAAGGCACAGACAGCCTGCTTATTTGTTACAGAAATTGCAAGATTGCAATCATATTTTATCTTCAGTGAAACTCAACATTCAGCCAAACAATCAAACTAAGAAGTCAGAATTGAGTATAAGATCTTGAATTTTCTGTCAGTCTGCATCATTCTAATTACTGTATACAGAATGCAGCAAGTCTTTCAGATATTTCTGATACTCTGTCTGATGCTCTATCTGACACTCATTCTGAACCAGAAGATATCAGAGTGCAGGAGATTATACAAGAAGCAGTAGCAGCTCTACCCATGAGATCAGTTGATAACAATGAATCACAATAGTATGAAGAGCCTGAATCTGAACTCTGATTATAGACTATGTTACATCCAGTGCATCCAGTTAGTAATGGAGATTTCAATTTTTATTCACAACTAGAGAATTCATTGGGTGACCAGCCAGCTGAGACCTACATTCTGACTACAATGAATGACCTGTTGGAGGTTCTAGTCCATGTGTGTGCAGAGCCTGATGAAATGCTGGACCACTTCATGCTTGCTTTAGAATTATGGTGCAAAAAATCAGAAATATCTTGCTGACACTACAAGATACTGCAGAAAGTCTTACAGATTCCCAAAAACATCAGTACACTGAGATCTCTATCATTAGAGCTGAGCACATTAAAGAAGAAATACAGAGCTCAATTTTCTATACTTCTTATCTGACAAACATTCATACCAGCTGTTCCATTAAAAATGCCAACTCTTTCATCTGCCAAGAAGTAACTAATACAGATATCTCTCACATCTAATTTATTCTTTCAGGATTCTGTGGCTTTTTTGTCATTACTGGCAAGATCTTCTGTATTTTGCAAGAAGATACATATTGGTATAATTAATCTAGTTGACAATCCAACTGAATTGTGGCAATCATGAAGCTGGGGAAGCTCCATTAGATATTTATTAGATGACTTTGCATGATATTCTGACAGAACACCAGTCTTTTCTTTTAATTTTATTTGTTTCAGATGCAACAATGCTGCATGTAAGTGCACTTGGAATGAACAAGAAATTCATATTAGAAGAATTCAATTTGTGAGTCAGAACCAGAGACTGGCCTGCACAAAATCCAGTAAAATTATTCTTATTGTTCAGTACACTATTACTGTCAACAGCTTTGATAAAAGAATTCATTTACTGAGATCTCTACTTTGCCTGAACAAGCTGCTCTTACTGGAAGACCAGAAAACTTACATCATACATGAAGACAACATTCTAGCCCAACTAGATGTTCATCTTGACTACATCTTTGACAGATTGAATAGCTACAAACTCTCAGAAACAAATAGGTTCTTTGTACAGTAAGTGATGAATACAATTCACCACATATCATCTGTACAAAAGCTCTGACTTAGCACTTCACTCTGGAGTGAACTGAAAATTGTGGCATATAGAAGAGATATGCTGATCAAAATGCTTTGTTCAGATAATACTATCAAGAGAACTATATTCATTCTCTTTCTGCTGTTCATTAACAGATTTGATCTATATCAGAACATGTATCAAAATATAACTGGCTTCTATATGATTCCTGCAGGACTTAATGATTCCAAAAGAAGATAATGAAACAATATATATACAATTGCTCTCAGGCCTCATGCTAGAAATTTTTCTGATGTTGTGAAGGTGTTGGCTTCTGATTTACAAGCAGTTGAAAGAGGATTTGATATTGTAGTAACTGGTGAAGAAACTGTCAGAGTCATTGCTTCTTGTATTACTTATCTTGATGACATGCTGCAGCAAAATGATAATGCTGAAATCAAATACTCTACTGCAACAGTCTTCTGTTGAAGCTGTACTGTCTCTGATGCAGAGAGATTCAATATGAATTTCAACTTGATGAAATACAGCTAATATTATTACCAGCTACTCAATTTGCAGGTCAAAATTAAGATAAAGCAGACTGTTCACAAGCAAGAAGCACTGTAGAAAATCTATAAATTGATCAAGAAAAGTCTTCCAGTTTTGAAGATCTGTCCAGTACTGAATCTGGTGATATTTTTCCTCTCTGATCTCTGTTATAATGAATTTTCAGGCCTGTTCAAAATTGCACATACATTATTGATATTACATATATTGACACCTGAGAGGCAGAAGAAATACTGCCAAACCCTACAGAGATTTTTATTTCAGAGATACTGAGCCCAACTGCAGTCTTTAATTACTCATCTGAAGTTCTACCAAATTCAGAAACATGCCTGAGCTTTAATTATGATTCCAATTATACTTCACTTTACTCTAAAGTCTGACTGGATTCAGACTGTTATTCAGCAGGCTCTCTATAACTTCTTTAATGAACAGTTAATTGATTCTGACATTTCATATTTGTTGCTTGCTAAAATCTTTAGTGCTATTGCAAGAAGTAATTCATTATTGACTTCTCAGACATCTGTCAGGTACAATAAACTTAAAAGTGTGGTTGCCAACACCTGAACTATACTTCAGAAAGTGATAGATGCTACTGTCATGGCTGCTGAGACACCATAGTCAGCTAGCCAGACAGTATGGATGCTGAGATTACAGCAGAATTCACCAGTGTTCAATCAGATTGTGACACCCCTGACAGAGAATATTTTAATCAATACTGTCAGTATTGCTCTGAAAGCAGGTAAGATGTTACATGCTTTGAAACACCAACCAAACATGCATATCAGAATGCACTATGCCAATCAGATAAAGAAGTATGCTGTACTAAATAACTGCAATATACTGATCAGAAAGAATAAACATCATAAATATAAAGCATTTGTGCAGCAAACTAATAAGCATGATGTTGAAAAGATTTTACTGATTCATGAGAGCTTCAAATGCACTATATTCTTGATTCTTGATAAAGCTCTTATGGAATCAGAACTCTATATCAGCAGTCAGATGAAGCAACTTTATTGCAAATGTCTGATTCTCATGCAAGATCTCATGCAATCAGAACACAATGAGTAACAAGATAATGATGAGAATGCTGATAAAGCTGATAATTCATATGCTATTATCCTCTTTTATATCTTAATCAATGTCTACTGCCAACTACCAGCTAGTCACAAAGTCATGAAATTGCTTGATTTACAAAGTGCATGGCTTTCTGAACTACTAATTACACATTTCTTTTTGCAAAAGCTCCAACTTTCATACAGCAGTAATTGAGCATATTAACATATGCTTGACAGAGGTTCAACTCCAGTTCAATTATTTTAAAAGCTGATCTTTACATTCAATGGAGATGCACATTGCACTATATTAAAACTTGATGATCTGGTTGAGTATACTTGTGCATCAGGCATCAAGATCAGGCAAATAAGATGCATATTCACCCACAACCAGGGCAGCTGCTGGAGGGTTTTTTTTGCCATGTTCTCTGCTTATGAAATTCAGTATGAGAGGGTACTGGATTTGCCAATTTTGCAGATGAATCAGAATGAGATTCATATAATCAGTCTACCTGCAATCTGCAAACCAAGTCTTTACACAATATCTGTCAGTAAAGATTTTAAAAGACTTAAACTGGATTCTGCTCTGCTGACTACCTTTCTTAACTGCACTTGGAGCATTTTCTTTTTATAGATGAATCAGGTGGTTTGATGTATGTAGTATTGCATATTAGTTGAAATCTCTCCAGTGTCTGCTGAAGTAACTATACTATAATGGTTTCTATACTATAATGATTTCTATACTATAATGGTTTCTATACTATAATAGTTTCTATACTATAATGGTTTCTATACTATAATGGTTTCTATACTATAATGGTTTCTATACTATAATGGTTTCTATACTATAAACATTTATAAACCCAAAAAGGTATCCCAAATGTTTCTAGATATATTCATTGATCAGGGGTTTGAACATTTCCTGATTTCTACATTGAGAATTGGAAGCTATGTTTCTGAATTCAGAATGTATATATTTTTAAACTTCTAAACAACCATGGATTCAGATAAATGTATATTCTGATGTAAATGTATCAGAACTAGTGGATCTATGGTTTACAAATTCTCCCCATTTCTGCTATGGTCTGGAACAGCCTGTCAATGATAAGAAGTTCTCTTCCTCCTTCAGTGTCAATGCAGTCTGGCATGATAAACAACCCAGATACTGATGATGAGCGCCATATGTCTTGTCCAGTAACACTCAACCCATCTTGCAAACATCACCAACCCAAGCAAAATCCATACAACTCATCACAACATCAGTTGAAGTGGCAGAAGTTGAGCCAGCCAGCACCAGCATATTGGGATAATCTATCCAAGATTTGGTTGACCAAAGACATCTTAAAGGAATTAGATCAAAGAAGCAGCTGCCTCAAACAACTTCAGAAATTTCATGTGTCTGTTTTTCAATAATCTCATCTCAAGCTGAAGAAATATTGTGGACTTCAGCTTGCTCCCAACCCACTCTCTGATTGCTTCTCTGAGTGCTTAAAGCAGATTAAGAGGTTTTCCAGACTGGGAGGTCCTGACCTGTCTGATCTTAGAAATGTATGTAAGTGCAAATCCACTGCACGCATCACTGCTGATGATTTTATACCAGTATCCAAAACCAGAAAACATTCTCAAGCAATCAATGACCCTAAGCAAATCCAGCTTTTGTAGTAGAAAGCAACATGCTGGATCTTTGTCATTGAAGTCCAGGGATACCACAAACACAAGAAGTTCCACACTGTACAGTCAAAACTTTCAACAGAACCTAACCAACCATGGTATCTATCCCCCAGAATACAGGTTCCCAAATGGGGAGAAGACACAGTGGCCAAATAACTGGAATGAGATTAAAAGAAGATTGGGGAATCTGCAGCCCTCTTTATCACCATCAAGATTCTCTGAGAAGGAACTGGAGGAATTCAAAGAAGCAGATGCATACACATCAAAAGAGAAGCCAGTGACAACCACAGTGATTCCAATTATTGAAGGTGATATCAGCAATCTCAAATGTTCTGGAGGAGAATATCTGTTTGGAAATCTTGCCCCCTTAACTGATGGCATGCTAGCTCAAGCCAAACCAGATCACTTCTATGGTGCACATCCTGAACAGCTCAATCATCAAATCTACAATGACCTTAGCAACCAGATTATTCTATTGACTCAGGATGACCTTCCAATAGTATCAAACTTTTTTTTAGAAGCAAAAGGTCCTGACAGATCCCTTGCTGTGGCTACACAGCAAGCTTGCTATAATGGCACACTAGAAGCTCAAGGCATGCATTCACTTCAGTCATACTGACAAGATCAATTGACCTACAACAACAATGCTTACACTATTACATCAACCTATTACAGTGGCACGCTCAAGCTATATACTATTCATCTTTCAGAGCCTAGAGATCCAGGCTGCCGTTCTGAATATATTATGGTGCAGATCAATACTTGGGGCATGACTGGGAATCCTGAAACCTTTCAACAGGGAGCATCTGCGTACTGAAATGCTTGAGATTGGGCAAAGGAAATGAGGAACCAATTTATTACAACAGCAAATGAACACCTCTCAGATGCTCAATCCAAACACCAAACAGCCTCAAGTGTTGCTCTCATTTCACAGGAATCCGACGCATCGAGTGTGTCCAATGAAACTGAGTATCAGAATGCGCAATGGAGTTTCGCGGCTCCTATTGAAGGTGGAGAAGATGAGTTTCAAAGCTTGGGCAGAAATCCCAAAAAGCAGAGGGTGGGTTCCATTGTCTCTGGCAATCCAGTTAGCAATAATCCCACTAGATGCCCGAACTGAATGTAAACCAAACAAAACAAAGCAGAGGTGGTATTGGCAGGTTAAAGAACGAGCTACTGGTATTGTAATAACACCCTTCAAGCTACCTGTCTGCCCAATTCAAAATTCAGAACCTAGCAATGATGTTCCTCCCCATACACAGAAATTAAATACATACTACAAAAAATGCCCAAGTTTCTGTGTCCTTCGCCCGCTTTCAACAATTCAATGCAACCTTGGGCCCTCTTATAGGAGCAAGCACAGCACATGCATCATTCTCCAGTTTCCTCAGAAGGCCAAGTGAAGAATTGACCTTTTGGTCCTAGCAACAGCAGCAGCCCTGTGAAAGTGTCTTTGTTGTTTGTTTCCATTGAGGCTGGCCATGCTAGGCTGGAACTATCATTTGCAATGTTTGAGTTTGGGGAAACCCTAATCACATCAAATGACTTGATATGCGGCGTGTACCTGTGGCTTGTTTGATGCTGTCCCACCTGGGATGTCTGAGGATTCTTCACAGACACTGTGATATGAGGCTTGTCTTTGACCCAGGCACCATTGGTTCAGGTTGAAGGGTGAATGTATGACCTGCAAAAGCCAGAAAGTAAGCACATATAGGGGTTTATTGAGCCCAATTTGAATGATTTGTCTCACCAAATCAAGACCCTGGTAGTGTTCGGGTCAGTCTGGATTGCCATCTGGTATGTGGCATACATCAGTGCTCAGGCAATGGTTTTGTTTTTCGGCCGTGTGACCTTCCAAATGTACTCAATCGGGGTTGCCATGGTAGGTAGAGAGATTCAATGTTAAGTAATGTGGAAAAAAGCGGTCACTTTGCTTGCAGCGCTTGGGAAGCAGTAGGTATTGGCACCAATACCTGAGAAATACAAAGAAGAGGCAAGGGAGAATGAACTTGAGAATCCATCGCACGTCGTTCAACCTCATTATATACCTTCACAGCATGAGGAATGGATGGAGCAGAAGCAAAGAATGTCAAAAAAGGGGTTCTCCAGAAGCACCACGCAACCCTCCAGGGGTCAATGCTTGGGAGTCTTGATATCAAATCAATCACAGACTTGATGTGATACTGGCGCCAGCCAATGTGATTCAAAAGGCAACCATGGTGAAATCAGAAATAGATTCATATGATTGGAGTATAGTGGAGCACTCTGTACATCCTGTAACATGTCCCAAAAAAGAAACAGAGAATGCATAGAAACCCCTGGATGTTGTCTCAGTAAATTCTAAATTTGAATTCTCCAGGCTCAAGCAGGTAGGCCTATCACATGACTGGAGTCCACCACCATACCGGAAAAATGAGCTTTTCAGGCAACTGTCGGAAAACATTTATCTGATATGACCCATTGAACCACAGGTTGCAAGCTTGAAACTGTAGATTAACCATATATTTACAATGCATGTATAAAGGGTCTGAAATGTATAGAATTCAGAATGTATATATTTTTAAACTTGAGAGTTTTGAACCTGATTTGGAAGCTTTTCAATTACTAGAAACTAACTAAGTATTACAAACCACCTGCACAACCTGAATTGTAATGAATTTTTTTTTTTTTTTTTTTTAAATTTGAGCCTCTCTGGTTGAAGTCTCTGGTTTGAGGACAGGGTATAAAACCAGTGCAGAAGAATTATCAGAATGAGCCTATTTGAACTGCTTGATTATACTTTTAAGCAAATTAGCTCTACTGTCTTTAGTTGGAGACAGGCCTGATGCAGAGATATTTGACTGTGACTGAATAAAGAGAGAAGATGTGATTGAAGTAAGAAAGAGAAAGAGAGAAGCAGATACAACAGAAAGCAGAGCAGCAGCAAATTAATTTATCTTAACTACTGATTTATAGATGATTTCTTCTGTCTTTTACTTTTTCTATTATTAAATATTAAAGTCAGTTTAATTCATTCTGATATTGCATCAAGTATACTGACTGCAGAAGATAAATAATTAAACTTTAAGTTCTGGTGAATATTAATTAAGGTTCTTTCAATATTCTATATATATAACTACATTAGCATGAGTTGAATGTATGATATCTAATCAGTTCAATCTATCTTGACAGAGTAAAATGTATACTCTATAAGCTCTTTTTATTTAACTTGAATAGATATAAGCTTTTTTAATACTGCTAAAGTGGCAGCATCAACTTCAGTATTGAAGAAGGGAAAAGAGAGAGATTTATCAGTTTGAACTAATAAAGATATCATTTTAACAAGCAATTTACTGAGATCAGTAATCTGTTCTGTTATACTAGCTTTTAATTTCTCTTGAAGCATCATATTCTTAAGTCTGAGAAAATTATTATAATCAGACAGTAATGCTGCCACTTTCTTCTGCAGCTCTGAAGAGACAGAAGTACAGGCTTTTTTATCTTCTGCATAATTAATACAGATCTTTATAGTTTCTTGCTTGCAGAAACAAGACTTTTTAATATATGCTGTATACACAAATGTCAAACAGCAGCTACAGAGTGTATTATTTATTATAGTGAGCTCTTCTTTAATAGTCAAGAGCTTTTGCTCTGGCTTCTTCTTTGTGAATATTAAAGAGTACTTGTTCTGAGCTGCTGCTAATTTATATATTTGTGGAGCTATTTTTTACTATTTCTGTATATATTATTCTTCAGTTTACTGCAGTTCCTTATTTCATTCTGAAATTCACCACTTATCTTGATATTAGAATAGGGGGAGAGAGATAATAAGAAATATAATGAGCTTAAGAAGAGGAAAGAAAGAAAAGAAGAGAAGAAGAGAGAGATTTTATGTAAAAAGAGATTATTATATCTAGTGTGTCTGCTTGATTGTTTTGAATTTTCTAATTGAGATGTATCTATTTATATATTACTAAGTGTTAACTCATTTTGCTTAGAGCTCCTACAGCTGATTACAGTAAATGATAAAGAGATATATATTAAATATAGTGAAATTTGGCTTTTGCAAGCATTGATATAACAGAGTATTGTATTGAAGTCTAGATATCAAACCCTGAAATCTATTTTAAAGTACAAACTAACAGCTAATTTTAATCTGAGAAGACATCTTTTCATGTATTTAACTAGAATCTGTGTCTCTTTTGAGGCATGTGACCAGTTATAGCTGGTGTGAATCTCTTTAAACAGACAGACTGATTTGTTGCAGTCTCAAAATAATTCTCTGTAATATTCTGTAAAGAATTCTGATTCTTCTTGTCTGAATTGTCATTCTCTGGCTTCTGCAGAGCTTGCACTGCCTGAGCTAGATATAAATTAGGTTTTCTGAGCAGTATACTAGATATCAACTGAACTGCATTCAGAATTTCTGGCAAAGTCTTAATATAAACAGTCTTTAGCTCTCTTGATTGAATCTTCTGTTAAGTGAAGTTGTCTGAATTAACATCTCTCAGTTCTGGTTTCTGTGTCAAGCAGTTCCAGAGCTTGAGTATAGAATTCCAGATGTAGATCAACAGAATGAATACATTCTATTTCAGACTGTTGTTATCAAGATACAGCTTTATATATACTGCTAAATTTGCATACATCTCTATTGCCATAACTGTCAAAGCAGAAATTATGATAATTAAGATTTACTATTAACTTATGTTCAAAATATTATTTCTCTTGTGGGGCTGACTTCTCAAAATTAACATATGGCTTGATTCAGTAAAAGACTTTACAGAATTAGTTTCACTTGAATAATCAGATAAAATAGCTGATCAGCTTTTATTAATTGATTATTTCATGAAGTCTGAAATTAGAATTCCCAGTCAAGCTAAATTTAATATATTCTCTGACATGATTCTGCAAATGAGATCAGTTTATATTATAACTAGAAGTTTAGAGATGTTGTTTCAATCTTCAAGCTACTCAAAATCTTATATTTTCAATCTTTACAGAGATCTGACATGCATCTGAAAAGTTTATAAAAATATGAGTTATTTTTGACTTTCCAGTTCTCAAGACTCAGTATCTTCTGGATGATATTGGGAATTGAATCAGTATTTAATGTTAATATATAGGCTCACTGCATCTGATTTTGTATCTTGTGCTTCACTACTTGAATCTGCTTTTCAATCTCTGTATGATTAGAGAATGCTTCAGTTTGAATACTTGTATTTGAACTGAATAATATCTATTGAGTCTTTAGCATGTTGTGTGATTAGATTCATGAAAAGATGTGAGCTGTTTTTTTTGGTGCTGGTGTACTCTATATCTCTAATATTTTGGCTATTAAATTACTATTGAGAATGAATGAAAGTAAATGCTTGAATTTTAAAGAGATTTACTATCTATTATATAGTTGACTTGAAGTGCATTTGACTGCTCAAGTTGCTATTCAGATCTGTATTTATATTCTTCTACATTGTAAAATTCAACACCACTAAGTGATTGATTTCTTTAAAATAGGCTGATCATTCAGAAGAATGCAGATCATTGCTGATTCTGCATCTCCCAGAATTAATTATAGATCTAGATGATTAGAATATTATAGTTAGTCTGCAGTACAGTTGGCACATTTTGTGGCTGCTCTAATAT